ATTTGGGTTTTTGGTGGGCAGGACACTTCCTGGGATGTCAGGGTAAAAAGCAGAAGGATTCCCCTTCCTCTACTTCCTTTAGAAGGGAATCTCCAACCACTACTGCTTTTTGTTACCTCCTGGGCACAATGGTTTTGGGACATGAAGATGGCATCATCCAGGCCATCCCCTGCTTCAGGGGCCTCCATGTGCATTCTCTCTGTGAGTTCCCAGATAATTCTGGAAGGTTTTCCCACCTGTATCCTGAAGGATTCTCCCAACAAGGACCTTGCACACTGCATGGCTTATTCTTCATGGATTTCATTTTCAGAGGCAATGCCCAGAACTGAGTGTAGACATCTAAGATCAAGAGCCTGTCTAGCCATGGCCTTCTACACCTTCAAGTTAGAGAAGATCTAGTAACAGGTTGGTTCTGATGACAGGACACTTTTCAAATACTCTTGTTCTGTTTGGTGTGGTATGGATTGTGTAGTCATTACTGTTTTTTTCCAGCAAAACCATTCAGTGCACAGGTCTTTACTCAGTGGATCAATATTCGTTTTCTTGTGGGTCTTTGTGTGACCAGAAGCCTTACGTAAGTGCATGACTAGAGATCATTTAGGCAAGCTGGACATCCATAAGTCCATGGGCCCTGATGGGATGCACCATGAGTGCTGAGGGAGCTGGCAGATATCACTGCTAAGCCGTTCTCAATCTCCTTTGAAAGGACATGGAGAACAGGAGAAGTGCCTGAGGACTGGAAGAAGGCTCATGTCATCCCAGTCTTCAAAAATGGCAAGAAGGACCCAGGAAACTACAAGCTAGTCAGCCTCCCTGGAAAAAAAAATGATGAAACAGCTCATCCTGAATACCATCTCTAAGCATCTGGAGGAAAAGGTGATCAGAAATAGTCAGCATGGATTCACCAAGGGGAAATCAACCTGATACACTTCTACAATGGGAAGACTAGCTGGGTAGATGAGGGGAGAGCAGTGGATGTTGCCTAGTTTGACTTCAGCAAAGCTTTCGACGCCATCTCCCATAACATCCTCATAGGCAAGCTCAGGAACTGTGGGGTAGATGAACGGACAGTGACGTGGATTGAGAACCGGCTGAAAGGTGGGGCTCAGGGGGTTGTTATCAGTGGTTCAAAGCCTAGTCAGGTCTGAAGACAGTGATGTCTTCCAGGGGTCAATACTGCTCCACTCATTTACCTTACTTAACAAAGACCTGGATGAAGGGACAGAGCACCTCCCCAGCAAGTCTGCTGAGGATAAGAAACTGGGAGGAGTGGCTGATATCCCGGAGGGCTGTGCTGCCGTTCAGAGGGACCGGGACAGGCTGGAGAGATGGGCAGAGAGGAGCCTTGTGAAGTTCAGCAAAGGCAAGTGCAGAGTCCTTCACCTAGGAATAACCCCAGGCACCAGTACCGGCTGGGGGTGACCTGCTGGAGAGCAACTCTGCGGAGAAGGACCGGGGGTCCTGGTGGACAACAAGCATATCATGAGCCAGCTCTGTGCCCTTGTGGCCAAGGCCAGTGCTATCCTGGGATGCACCAGGAAGAGTGTTGACAGCAGGTTGCTGGAGGGAATCCTTCCCATGGTGTCTCCTCCCTTGGAGATACTCAAAAACCGTCAGAAAACAATCTTTGGAAATGCACTCTACTTGACCATGCTTGCACAAGGGGGCAGGACTAGATCTCCAGAGGTCCTTTCCAGCCTCTACCATTCTGTGATTTTTGTCTCCCCCTTTTATGTCCTCTCACTAGATCCCTGACCCAGTCTGAGGACATCAAATCCCAGTACCCTCCACATTCCCTCCCTCTTGTTCCAGCCATCCACGTGCTGGCTCTTTGGAGCAGTCTTTACCCTGGCTATTCGTGCTTTTCCTTCTTTTCCTCTTCAGCAACACTGCCTTTCAATCCTTCTTCCCGAGGCACCACTGTCCATGTGTCTGAGGTCCCCACTTCCAGGCAGGTACCTCAAGAATCCTATGAACAAGCTTGCATCAGACCCCCATGATACTATCTCCACCACCTCTGTCTTGCTCACTCATCTGCTCCCTTGGGACGGGACCATTTCCAGCATTTCAGTGTACTGATCCACCTCCAGCAATCACCTTTCTGGAGTATCTCTAGACTGCAATCACTGCAGAGCCATGCAGATATTTCCAGGCTGGCCTTCTACCAGCTGCTTGTTCTGCTCTTACCTCAGATGTTACCTCAGATAGGGTTCAACTACGAACCCAGCCAAAAAGGTGGCTATGTATTAGGGAGCAAAGGCCTGTGTCTGTATATAAACCTGTGTCCAGGCCTGTAGACACGAAAAAAAAAAAAAAAAGGCAAACAAACAAACAGAAATATCCTTGTCCATGGAATTACTTTTTCCTTCTTTCAGCAGGGGCGACTCCTGTTTCTAAGAACTCTCAGAAAATCTGTCCTGATTAAAAGTTCAAGGCAAGCACTGCCCTGGTCCTAAATCTGTGATAAATTTAAGATTTGATATTGTGTAATATAACACAGCTAGAAATGAAAATTTGTATTGTTGGAAATAGGAGAGAACTGGCTTTTCCATGGTGCACAGAATTCTTATTTCAAATCTGGGTACTTTCCATCATAAGAAAGAGATCATAAAAGTGCAATATAATTAGATAATAAAGATAACACTGAGGATTAGTACAATATTTTGTACTACGGAAAAGTACAATATTTTTCTTTCTCTTTTTCACCTCATGTTGGACTGGATTTTTTGCCCCTGAAATTTGCATCACATTTTTAGTTCCCTTAAACATTCTCAAGAGCTTTTCCACAGAAAGTCCACAGCATATATACAAATAAAATGCATGTGGATGTATTTTTAATTTGTGCTCTGTTACAAAGAGTGACATTATTCAATAGCATTCAATGCGCTGCTTTCTGGCATCTAGGATGTGCATGACAGTAAGATATAGATTGGAGAATTTCCCTTTGCAGCACGCCAGCCTCTAGCATGAAAAAGTCATGCCTCAGAGTCGTAAGTTTTACCTAGCATTCATTAATTCTTTAAAGAAAATGATGAATTAGGGTGACTTTATAATTGCTTTCTGAACATTTAGAGAATGGTCACTCCCATGTTTTTCAGATTTTCCTCTGCAAGCATGTGCTTTTAAATGCTAAATAAGAGTTTCCTAGAGTCTTTGCTTGTGGTTAATGCTTTGAGGAAAAAGCCAACTGCTGTGAGATTCAAGATAGCTCATACCTGGCGAACACACTACATAATTATGTAAGAAAGTCAGTGTTAGGAACTCTTGCAAAGATCCAGGGGGTTGCAGATGGGTGCAGTAAACAGTTCATGAGTGTGTGTGTGTGTGTTCAACTACACATAGGCAGAATGCATGAGACCAGGTGCCCATGTAACTGTGACACTGACACAGGCAGATCTGGTCATTACATCTGTGTTGCTAATATGCACAAGGAGAAACACCCTCAAGCTTATACACAGGAAATACATATAGGATTGTCTGGGTGAGTTTATTAGATCTCATGACCAAGTGCTTCTGTGTGCATGAGCAGATATAGAAGTGGACTCAGGCTCAATCATACGTTTGTGGGGTCTAGAGCTGCAACAGTGAAGTACGTACATGTAAGTGATGCAGAAAACAAGGAAGGGAGGGTTTATTGGCCATGTGCAGGTCTCTTTTGTGGGGCTTGGATGGTGAGTGTAGTGAAAAGTTAGTATGAATGATGAATCTAAGTGTATGGCCAGATAAGAATCACACACTCACATCTGAAAGTGGTACTAGAAACTTTGGACTTGGGGACTTGCATACAAGCTCTGTGCAAGTATGAAAGAAAGACCCTGCAGCAACCAGGGTGAAAGTGTTTCTTTTTTTCTGGAACACAAGTGTTTTAAGCGCGTAGTTTGTACTGTAGTAGGGCGTGGGGGTTTCATTTTGTGGAAGAGAACAGTGTGGTCCATTTGCAATTATGTCATCACGAGCAGGGTACATCTGGAGGGTGGGAATTACTGTCAGTTCTTATTAGCTAGGCAGGGATATCTGGGTATTCTCTCCTCCATTGGGGACCATCATTCACAAGTTATCTGGATTTCCTCTGGACTGCCCAGGCAGCTGTTCAGAACAAGACAACAGCTCATTCCAGACAACAACATATTAAAAAAAAAAAAAAAAAGTGAAGTGGTAGCAGAAGCGGGCAGTAAATTACGCCTGTCAGCTGACTGACAATTCCTGCCAAAGCACAGGTGCTTGCTGGGGGGGTGCAGTTTGGGAGTTAATCACTTCTTTATAGACCGTTCACCGTGAACAGCTGATAGTCTGCTGTGGTGCACAAGAATGGCTCCTAGCAGGCATGCAGGCTTTGTTTGGCTTCACGGTGCCTGCAGCACGGTGCCTGCAGGGAACTACCTGGAGCACCTATTTGCTGAAGATGAGGAAGACCTGCAACAACAGCATTGCTCACCTTAAACCTTCTCAGTCTTTTACTCTCTACTATCAAGACACACCCCTCATTTCCTTCTTCTCCCTCTGGTTCCTTCTCGTTCCAGTCATCCTTCCCTTACAGAAAAAGGTAAGTTTGCCCAGACCCCACCTGCCCATCCTTCTTCTCAGGGAGCCAATTCTCCCCATCAAGATTATGTTTTGCCACTCTACAAAACTCCACTATTTTGTGCTCACCCTCCTCTCATCTTCTGATGTATCTTGGCTGATAAAAGAAAGAACTAGGGACAAAAGGAAGGAAAAATGGCCCTGCTCCAGGTGCTTGCCTCCTGCGAAGGCCTCAAGTGCCATCAAATTGCATCTGGAATAGCAGAGCTGAGGCCTATCGGAGAGGACTGATGCAGAAAGGCAAAACGTGCTATTGCAACCAGCTGGGAAGAAGAGTCAGAGCCAGGGAAGAAGGACTTCAAAACCTAGAGCAAAACCTCATTTGTGATGTCTCTTTCTAAAGAAAGTGCAGGTGTAGATATTTCCAGAACGTTCTAGAGTATTATGTGTACAAGAACGGGTAATTCCTCTGGGAGCACCTGGCTGTGCCATGGAGAAATGTGCCTGAGACACCTGCCTTGCCATGAGGCTCCTCCACGCGCCTCCTCAGGCATGGCAGGTGGTTGCTCCCAGCACCGTCAGGGCTGGACGCTGGCACCAGGCGCATTGCTGGCAAGCGCCGCTGCGCCACTACCGCGTCACCGGCCTTGACGGCCGCGTGTGAACCCCAACGCGTGCTTGGGAAACAACCATGGGTATCAGGGCCAGAGATGGTCCAGGGGGGTGGCTGGTGCCTCTGTCCATGGGGCAGGCCAGGCATGTCCATGGGCATCTGTGGGTGAGCAGCACACGCAGGCGAGGATGGGTGCAGGACCCTGTAATTACTCTCCATACAAACCCTCTGCCTGGCTGTGCGGACACGTGCTGCAAGGGGATGCACCTCGCCATTCCTGGGACGGGGGCTGGGTGCGTTGCCTGTCCCGCTCCACGGCTACCGTGGGGGATCCCTCCCTGGGCACTGGGCAGAGGCCGGGCCAGAGACACTCGTGGAAGGTTCTGGAAGAGAAGGCCAGGCAGGGGCCTCGGGGGGGAGGCCCTGGTCTCACCCCGATGCGCGTGGGGGAATGGGGGGCTCCCCGTGCCT